ATGATTTTCAAACAAAATGAATAATGGACTGAGCCACAAGAGCCAACTGAGTCACTGCGCGCCTATCGTTGGGTTTTATAACCCAACTCTGTTATTTTATTTAATATGTGCATAGTAGACTCCGTCTATAGTTTTTTTCTAAGTTCTTCGACAAAGAATTAATTAATTTAGCAAATTTATGTGACTTTAAACTTGAAGTTACAAATTTATATAGACTCAACTATTTTAAAACAATTTCCACTATTCTACATCCTGAAATAGCTAAGTTTTTTAAATATCAGGTTTTGAAATTACAAATTGTTATATGAAAACAAATATCCATTTGAATAAAATGTTAAATATAGTCACGTGTACTCTGAAATCTTCTCCACTACACTATACGACAATATGGCTTAATTTTTGAGGAATGAGCTTTAAAATTTGACATGTCTACATGAAACCCATTAACACATAGTTACTAAATATATCATATACAACTATATCTCATACGGGTTTTATCATATACGCTGTATTATTATATAGAGTAAAGTAGGCGAAAAAAGTGCTGACTTCCCTAAATTCGTTGTCAAAATGACGTGACTAATAATTGGATTAGGGGTTTTTTTTTCAAAATTTTAAGTTATATTTCTTTATAAATTGGTATTACTTTATCACATTCTTTCTGTCATTGAGTATTGCGTACCAAATACATTTTTTTATTGTTCGTACTTATTTTATATAAAGATGTGTATATGTTTTATGTGATAAGAAATGGGACAGTGATATTGGGACAGTCCTATTGGGACAAGTTCCCTGTGTCGACTGTAGAGTCATAAATAAATAGAAATAAAATTTTCGTTTTCTATAAATTGACAATCATAGAAGTAAAGCAAGAAAAAATAGAAAAATATAAAATAATAGAGAAAAATAGTTGCACTTTAGCTATGGAACAATCAATCTAGCACAAAATCGCATTTTCTCAATTGCATACTTCTGGCGTTCGTAGCCACATTTTTAAATACTTACACAACAACAAAAATATCATATTAAAATAGGTTTTTACTGGGGACTGTGTTTGTACAAATAACTGGAAAGAAAAACACCGTTGTATATAACAAAGTGGAACCTGCGAAAAGTTTTACTTTTACTTCGAAATCAAGAAAAAATAAAAATTGTCGAAAAAGTCCTTTGTATTTCTATGTTTTGTTTCGGGACTTTTTTTATTTATACATAGTACAAGGACAAATACTTTTATATTTTTTAAAAATACTTAAGCTGTTTTGTTTGTTTTATATTTTATAATGATAAATGTAACAATATAAGTACGTTAGAGTAAAAAATATAAAATAACAAAATAAAATAATAAATGAAAACTAAAATAAAAATCTCAAAACGATTCCAAGAATTCCAAGAAAATTTTATATATAAATAAATACATTTCTTTTTATATTAGATTTTTATATTTAATATTGTTTTAAGTTTTTATTGAAATAAAATAAAGATAAACTAAATAATACCAAAGAATACTATATAAAATCTTGTTTTAAAATTCTTTACGGAATATGAGCTAAGTTAGTTGTGGCATGTATGTGAGTTAATAATATATATTGTATTTGAGTCTATAATTATTTATATTAAAAATTACTTAAAATATTTGAAAGAGTGTTACTCTTATGCATGTGGCAAATGTTAGTTTGTTATATTTTAAAAGGTATATGTAGAGGATACAATATAATTTATACACAATAACTTAGTTTTTCGTATTTTAGTTTATGTTAATTAATAATAAAATTACAGTTAATTATAAATAGAAATTAATAAAATAAAAAATAAAATCATGCAATAATTTTGTTAGTAATTATTTTTACAAATTCTAAACATGTCAATTCATGTTCGTAGTAATTAAAAAAATATCCCTTAAACTAAATTCAGTCAAATTGTTAAATTTTTAATTATATGCAAATATATCTAATAGTTAGTTAAGCAAGCAATAAGTTTTATATTGAAAACTGTTGCTTTAATATAATATTTTTACGCCGTAAATTATTATTCATATCTTTTCTGGAACTTATAGAAATTTCTTTTAACTGCCTATTTATTTATATATTATTATTTTTTTATTTTTTTTAAATAATCACTTTTGCAACTTTATTTTATTGTAAATATAAAAATATTTTTTTTTTCTTATAAAATTTTTTTTTTTAATTTGACCTGTCAATTCAAAACATAATAGCTAAGCCATTACATATATCCGGCCAACTTGCCTTTTTGATTTTCTTTTTCATTATATTTTTTATCTCTTATTCACTTATTCTTTTTAATATTTTTATTCTATTTGGCAACTGTCAGTACTTACTTTCTTCTTCGATATCAACGCGATTTTCGAGCTCAGATGTGCTCTTCTGACGCCTGAGCAATTTTTGCTTTGGCTGACAACGCGGCAATTGGGATGCGCAATCGCCATGTGAATTGAGCTTACAGATGCGGCAACGTAAGCCCTGACGTGTATGTCCTGCAAAAAATAAATACTTCACTCAATAAATATTATTTTTTCATATTAAAGTGTATTCAGTGTCACATCTATTTAAACACTACTGTGAAAGCCATTTATTTGTACTGTGAAAAAATCAATGCAGTAGCAGTGGTTCGTTTCAATTTTTATTGAAATCTTATTTTCATACAACCTATTTTTCATATACATACATATATATATAATATGCAAAAAGTGTTCTATGATTTTAAAAAGGTTTGCAATTGGATGTAAGATTGATTGCATCTTAACTACATATATTTTTCAATCACATAGCAATATTAAGTAAATAACGATGTTAGTTTGTCTGTTTGTCTTTTGGTCTTTTAATATGCAAACTATTCACTATGTGGTCAGAACTGGAAATAGAATTCATCCATTAAATTCATGAAAAGTCAAATATGACTAGAAAAATATATCGAAAAGATATATCATATCCATTATATGAAATGATGAGTTACACCAAAAAAAATTCATTTTCAATTAAAGATATTTTTTGGGTAATTCCACATAGCTATTTGGGAAATACTTTTTGAACGCTAAGCAAACCCTTATATAAAATGTAAACTCTAATATATAGTCGTTAATAACATTAATATTTAACTTTATGTTTATGCTTTTTTTCTACCATTATATATTAAGTGAACTTGATAGTGAAATAATAAGAAACTGACAAAAATTAGTTTCAATAACACAAGCTTAGCACGGTATTGGTGCATGTATCTAAGACATAGACTAATGCTTCAAATGTTGCTTATCAGTACTCAATGGAATTCGCAACATTTTAATGGTTTATCCAATACGGATTCCGAGTAAAATGATAGAGGGAAAAAGTGCAGGTATGGTCAATTGGTCAGATAAGGTACTAATTTGTTCCCGTAGAACACAAAACCGATATTGGAATATCAATTTTCGTCTGTGAATTAGTATTAAAGTTATTTAAAATTGTAGACAACAAATGTGCTCTTGATTTGTTTGACTACTTAGTGATGGATGAGAATGAACATCTCTTCTTGAAAACAGCTTTTAAGTTCTATCCTTAATAGACTGTTTGAATCTTTCGAATATTAAATTTTTATGGATTTTATTATTTCTTAGATATCATGGATTTTTTAGAAATCTTCTCAAAACAATGTTTTGGTAGATCTATGGCATCTATGTTATATTATGTAAACATAAACAAGGCTCGGTCTTATCAGCATTAGGATTTTAGCAGGTTTTTTTTTTTGTTGTTTTTATTTATAACACGAATATCAAATATTATTTAATAAAAAAATATTAATTTTATTTAATTTTTCAATACCTCTTAGAATTTGTGAGCAAACATCGCAGGCGGTTATCTTCTTATAAGTATATTCCTGTAAATGATGGCTGCCATCCTCATTAGGACGCAGCGGTTGTGCTGATGTTCCGGAGGCTCCATTACGCCTATTTAAAATTGATTAAAATATTAAATATATTGAAATAGTTAATTAGAACATACATATATTTTTACGAGTACATTGATAGTGTGGTGTGGTAGTGTGATATTGTCAAGCAATTAAATATTTAAATAAATTATAAATAACAATACATTTAATACAACAAATAATACACAAATTCAATAAGCAGTAAATAATTTATATTACATAGAAATAAATTATTTTACAATAAAAATAAAATGCAAAATTAAGAGTAATAAAATATATTATAAAATAAAATTTTTTTAATAAAAAAAATATTTTTATAAAAATAATTATACTTCTATTTCTTTTGTTTGGATTAGCAAACTATTTTATAATTAAAGTTATCATATGGTTTAAGGGACATTGAAGAAAAAAAAGAGTAATAAGTTTATACACTTAATCTTATAGATTATAGATTTAATAAAATCAAAAAATATATACAAATTTTTTATGGTAAAGGAAAACAGCTCAGTCAGTTCTGCAAGTTTGGTATACTGGTACAGGTCTTGAATAATGAGGGAAAATGCTTCAACTTTACATCAATTTGATAGAAAGAGAATTTGGTGTATAAAATAATAATTGTAGATTTTCACGTCTATTCCATTATTGGTCAATTTAAATGAAAAAGTAAGTTTCATGTATTAAGTTTTTATAATTTATATTAATTATTAATATTCTTTTTATTATTAAATTTAAGAACGTTTAATTTTATTTTATTTCATTTTATTTTCATACCCTTTATGCAGAAGATTTACTAGGTTTGTCACGATTGAAGGAATTGTCATAGATCCCATAAAGTATACAAAATCTTAATTGGTCCAACAAACTAAGTTCATTTGACTCTATTCATCTGTTGGTTTCATCCTAAATTACTTTTTCAGTTTTTAAGAAAATTTGTACATATACTTTTCAGAAGTAAACCTTCGTCATATGACCGATTGGTTAAAATCGGAGCAATATATACTAAAACTACCACCATATTCTGTATAACACACTAATAATGTTTGTTACATTTATAATAAAGATATTCAAATGAAATTTAGAACTAACTGTACTTTCAATCATAATACCCATTATGTAAAATTTTATTAATATCGGTTCAAATTAAGATATGACTTCTACTTCAATGGGAAACAAAATATGTCGATTTAATTTAATTGCAAATATCGTTGTTTCTAATATATTATATATATATAATTATATATTAAAGATAATGGTATGTTATCTTCTTGTTTTATTTATTATTCTCTAAGAATAATCTCATTTAAACTCATTTTATTTTATTTCATTTTATATTATTAAATTTTATTTTATTTTTTGTTTTGTATTTAATTTTGTTTTGTTTTATTTTGATTTTTTTTTTGAATTATTTTATTTTAATTTTTATTTCAATTATTTTATTTTATGTTATTTTATTTTATTGCATTTTATTTAATTTTAATTTATTTTATTTTATTTTAATTTATTTCGTCTTTTTAATGTAATTATTTTATTTATTTATT